GACCAGGATTCTATGTAAAACTTTGTCTTTCGAGCAAACAGTAAGGTTTAGAGAGTTTGATGAAATATCTGTTGCTTCAAATGTACAAAGTGAGATCTCAATTCACATTTTGAACTCGACCGGTAAATCTTTTAATTGTGGACTCTATTTTGTGTGCTCGCATAAATAAGAGTCAACTATCAACACGAAAATTTTATGCATGTCCAAAGAAAGCTTTTCATCTCATAATGAATTTACTGTAGCGAAAGCTAAAGATTACAACGTTTAGGTTGTTTAACAACAAACATTCAGGTCTTTTCGGTATGGGTTGATTATACCTTACTCAAGTCAAAGAAATTTGCGATCAATCATTTTTGTGCCAAAATAGTGGCAAAAGTACTAGAGAAATTTTACGACCAAATGATGAGCATGAGAGCTAAATTTAAACTTAAAGCTTTCTAGTAATTCAATTCCCAGAGAATGGCATTTTCTAATAGGATCAATCAAATACATCAATCGTGATCGCGAGTTCGTAATAATAAAAACAAGAATTCGAATGAGAATGAAATAAGTGTAAAATTTTCATCATTATTATAATTAAAATTGTTCACATAACCTTTATTCAGATCAAAGGAAAGCAATTGCTTGAAAGAACATATTTATCAGCTTTTACATTATTCATTACATTATTAATAAACAGTCACTTTTATAGTTATGTAGAACATTCTGTTATTTTTCGTTCGCTCTGGTCCTTACCCTCCAGCGCATTTCTTGATGGAAGGATTACCGTATTCATCGTAAACTACATGAGCTGAAACAAAATTAAACGAGGCAATAAGAGCAATGAAGAAGATGACAGTAACAAGTTTAATCGCTTGCATATCGACTTTCCACAATTGATCGCAATCAACGAAAATCATCCACAAGTCGTAAGTAAAAGTTAATTTCAACTAATATTGTCCCAATAAAATATCCGTCTTTTATACTGTCACCAAGTCTGGCTAGGCAGTTTTGTTTACTCATTTGCTTCAACAAATTGTAAGCTCGAAAAGTTTATTCTTTCAATGAATTGAAATTCAAATGGTCAATCGAATATGCATTCCCACAAATGTGACATTTTAACACAATACTCTCAATTGATGTTATATGACAAAGATGAGTAAAATTTTAGGTAAAATGTAAATAATGACATTTACTTTAAAGCAAATGAAATGGACATATGAGTAACATCTACTCATTTAATCATGATGAATGCAGAGAGTTGAAGGTTGAAAAAAGTTCAAGTTTGAACTTGATTCAGTTGATGATAAATAAATAATCTAAATAATTAAGAAAATTTCATTTTGTATTAACGCTTTACTAAAAACGTAAAAGTTGCAACTTCGGACAGTTACTGTACACCATTGCCAGATTTGTCAATTTACACATTTTTCTGATATTACATCTTATGAGCAATCAAAAATTACATTTATTTCGGAAACTTAAACATTCTGTTTGCACGCAAGAGGTGATTCGGCTTACGGAAAAGTTGGTCGCTTTAAGCTTAATAGAGTGAGTCAAAAGGAGGCTCAAGATTGATAAATGGGAAGAAAAGTATTAGTAAGTGTTTCAATTTTATTCAGATTAGTTTTTGTTGGAAAACAAGTTTACTGAGAGAAATTGATGAAATGGTCATTCATTAAGTTGATATTATCAACCACGAGCTCTCAGGTAAACTTTTGGCTCACTGTTAATAAGTCTGTATGCATCACTGGGGAATCGCGAATAGACATCATCACAAATGAGAAAGGAATATTGTAATACATTGAATTGTCTGTAAACACCTCGTCTTGTCCTCAGTCCTCGTATTGGGTAAACTTGCGACCAAATTGTTTCATTAAATTCATCGTTATTAATAATATCTTTGATTCTATTGAAGATACTTTTAGTATTCCGGTGCTGACAAAAACCATGTCTGCACACTCCCTCTGGAACCATCCTTTCAGGTACTAGGCGATACCGTAGACGAATATTGATAAAGCGCCTAGAAATCACCGAATCAAAATGAACGTCATAAGCCAGATGAAAACTGTTTTCGGCATAACGAATGGCACTAAAGAATTCTTCCTTATGGGTAGCAGCGCTCCAATAGCTATGAGAATTGAAAAGCAATATACATTAATCTGTTAATAAATAATCTTTAAATTGTTTCAATAAATGATGGTAATGATAGATTACTTTATCTGGTTCCTAATAGCATAGTGATATGGATCATCGCGGGGCTGCACATGCTGCAACGGTTCTCGGAGGATCGGCAAAAGAAGCTCATAAACATACTTGCATGGTACACCAGTTATTGACTGAAGCTATGCAAGAATATAATAAGAATAAAGTTATTGCTTAATGATTGACGGGTAAACTCAACTTACCTGTCCGAGCAGTTGTTGTTTTTGCTGATGCCAGCCATATTTATCACTCCAGTCAATATCTATGTCATGATAGTCACCTAAAAACTTGACTTTGAATGTAGCTAAACGAGATGAAAAGGTTTATGGGTTATTTCATTTTATGAACTATTATTCACCATATTCAACAATAATATACAAGTGATAGTACTTACTTTTATAAGAGTTAACTTGGTCTGCCATTTCAAAAAGTACGATTATCAATATATGTCTGAATTTTAAAAGAAAAGAAGAGAAAAGAGAAGAGAAGAGAAGAGATGAAAAAATTGTAAAAGAGTGTCCACTGAGAGCAAAACTGACCAAATATGATGAACTTTTGGTTCCTTACACAGAACGACAAGGCTGAAGAAGTAACCGCCAGCTAAATCTGGTCTTCTTACTTTTGACTTGAGGCCTGCTCAGTCTTTGTCACTATGGAAACATTTTAACAAAATTAGCACAATCAAATCATCGTAAAGACAAGACCAAAGCAAATTAAGATTAAATTTAATTTACATTGAAATAGTCACGATAATCAATAGACTAACCTATTATTTTTAATGATGTTATTTTCATCAAAATAGCATAAAAAGATATTTAATTTTTTTTGCTATGGTGCCATTAGAATGGAATAATGGGAATTCTCAATGGCGTTGGAATGAAATATCTAGTTTTTGGCATCGCTGAGAAATCAGTCTCTAAAGGTTGCCATGTTAAGAAACGGTCAGTAATTTTGTTAACATTTACAAAATTGAAAAGCGCGGCTTTCATTCTTGAATGTTTGTTTACATTTTTTGTCTCACTGCTCACTGAGTTTTACTGTATTTTGTATCACTAATGAACATAAACTCCCCTTAATTTTTGGTCTAGATTTATTATTTATATTTATATTAATTTAACTAATTCAGTAACCTGCTTAGGTCTAATTTATTTTGTAATACATTTTTGTAATGGCTGACTTTCTTGATGAAAGTAATCCTTGTGGGATCAATCTTCTCCGTCTTGTTTCCCGTGGTAATGCCATTATTGCTGAACTTCTCCGTCTTTCTGACATGATACCGGCTGTTTTTAAACCTGACTTAAAGACGGAGTTTAATCGTTATTCCGATATAATCGTGGACTTTACTTATTTCAAAAATTTGGAAGCAATCGAGGCGAAAATTGACTCAACTCCAGCTCTCCGGGACAAAGACGATGAAATCCGTGACAATTATCTTGATATTTTAAGTGATTTTTACCTTGCCTTTGAATCTATTCATAAATACATTTTTGACCTCAACAAATATATGACCGACCTGGAAGAAGGTTTTTATATTCAACAAACCATGGAAACGGTTATGATTAATATGGATGGTAAACAATTAATGTGCGAAGCACTTTATCTCTGTGGCGTCATCCTTCTTACTGTTGACCAAAAAATTGAAGGATCGGTGCGAGAAAGAATGTTAGTTTCTTATTATCGTTACTCTGCACAACGTTCCACATCTGATTCAAATATTGATGACGTCTGTAATCTTCTCCGTTCAACTGGCTACTCATCGGTAACAAATAAAAGACCTGTCAACTATCCGGAGGATTTTTTCAAAAGAGTACCCATTAATGCTGAATATCTTAGCTTAGTTATTGGTCGATTAAGGTTTGATGATGTTTATAATCAACTTTCATCTTACCCATACTCTGAACATCGAAGCTTCGCCATGTCTAATCAAGCTGCAATGTTATATGTCATCCTCTACTTTGCGCCAGACTTTTTACACAACCAACATGCTAATATGAGGGAAATTGTGGACAAATTTTTTTCTGATAACTTTGTCATCAACATTTATATGGGAATCATTGTTAACCTTATAGAAGCTTGGGAGCCTTACCGTGCAGCTAAATCAGCCTTAAACAATACATTGGAAACAACTAGTCTACGTAAACATGCGATCTATCACAAGAATCATCTAAATAAATTATTACAGCAAACTACAGATTTACTGAAAGAAGGATATCTTGATGAAGAGGTGGTCTTAGATTCCACATCAAAGTTAACTAATATTTTGAGGGAATGTAATGTTACTCTTCGATGGTTAATGCTGCATACATTTTCAAACCCTAATGTAGAGACCCATTGGACAACCTTTAAAAAGTGTAAACAATCTCGAGATGTGATAATAAGCGAAACTGGTCATGATCCAGTGAAAATTTTTGAACTGCTGATGCATACCTCACAATTAGAATTGAAAGTGAAAGAAATTTATAAACAATTGCTCAATGAAAAACGTGAAAAATGGGACAAATATCAAAGTGAAGCTGTCGATAGGATATCGGAATTATCGGAAGTATTTTCTGGTAACAAGCCATTGACCCGTATTGAACCCAACTCTAGTCTTCAAGAATGGTTTGGACAACTTGCAAGTCAAATAAAAGCTCTTGATCCAGACCAGTTGAAAAGTTCAAATCGCAAAACTATCCAAATGATCAAAGCTCTTGATGAAATTCAGGATTTCCATCAACTAGAAGGCAGTATACAAGTTAAGCAACACTTGATTGATGCTAGAAAATTTCTGTGTTGCATGTTAAAAACTTCAGATGTAAAAGAGCACGTACTCATCACTCTACAGCTCATTGGCGATCTCTCTTATGCTTGGTTAATAATTGACTCTTTCACCAAGTATATGCAAAAGGGTATTCAAAAAGATCCAACTCTAGTCATTAAACTCCGAGCTACTTTTCTCAAGCTTGCCTCTGCTTTGGATATGCCCTTGTTACGGATAAATCAAGCATCAAGTCCTGACTTGGTTCCCGTCTCACAATACTATTCAAGTGAATTGGTTTCATATGTTAGAAAAGTTCTTCACATCATTCCCGACTCTTTATTTCGCCTTATGGCACGGATAATTGAATTGCAAACAAATCAAATTCAAGAGCTTCCCACCCGATTAATGAAAGATCAACTTCGATCTTATGCTTTTCTCGAAGAAAGATATGAAGTTGCTCAGTTAACTCATTCCATTTCTGTTTTTACCGAAGGAATGCTCATGATGAAGACAACATTAGTTGGTATCATTCAAATCGATCCCAAAAAGTTGCTAGAAGATGGTATCCGTAAAGAGCTAGTAATCCAAGTTGCCAAAGCATTACACCAAGGATTAGTTTTCAATCAAAGAGTAAAACCAAGTGAACTTGTTCCCAAGTTAAGAATTATCTGTAACATCATGGATGGTTTACGTCGCTCATTTGAATATATCCAAGATTATGTGTGTATTTATGGTCTGAAGATATGGCAAGAAGAAGTCTCAAGAATTGTCAGTTACAACGTTGAACAAGAATGTAATGCTTTTATGCGTCACAAAGTTCTTGACTGGGAAAGTATATATCAATCGAAGACTATCCCTGTGCCTAAATTTCCTCCGTTGGATCAATTTTCAGTCAATTTCATCGGTCGATTAACTCGGGAAATTTTAAGAATTACTGATCCAAGGTAAGTTAATATGTGATATTTTTCGGAATATCTCACAACCTTATTTTGAATTCATTATTAGTTTTACAAATCATCTAATAACTCGATACCACAATTTTTTCCCCATAGAACCACCATTTACGTAAACTCTTCAAGAACCTGGTATGATAATAAAACACGCGCTGAAATTGTTGACCCCAAATTATTTAAACTACTTTTAGTAAGTCGATTATTTTTGCATTTACTGTTTAAATATGACTAACAGTTTACTTTCAATTTATTTGTGATTATCTTTTTTGACTCATTTTGCTCCATTCAATCTAATCTTTTAGCAAAGCACGGGAACAGCTGGAATCAATGGCCTTGATCGATTACTTTCATTTATGATTGTCAGTGAACTGGGAAAAATTGAATCATTAATCGAGAAACAATTGCTGAATGAAAAGTGGTGGCACGATACTGTGATAAATGTTAACAACTTTTTATCTAAAAATGATTGCGATATGCCATCAAGTGAGTTACAAACCAACTAAAAAGATTGTTTTAACAAGAAAAATAAAATTCTTTTGTTTTTGATTCACAGATCAAGCTAATAAATTGCAATCACCAATAACTTCTAGAAATCCAAGAACTCTGCCAATCATTACTGAATCAATAATGAAGATTGGACAAATGCAACTAATCAAAAACAACATATCTTTTGAACTCAAGGATAGCTGCAATTATCAATCAAGGAATTTAAGATCCGCTTATGAAACTCTCAACGAGTAAGATATAATTTAATTGTTTGATTCAGCATATTCATATTTTTTCATTTTTTCAGGGCCTTATTAACTGAACTTAAACGAGATCCTAAAAAATATTTAGCCAAGGAGGAAAGTGCTCTTGTCTACGAATTAACCAATTATTTAGAATGGTCTGGAATATCAGATCCTCTTTCAAAAGTGAGTTGATATTTTCCGATCTAAACTCTTTATAACCAATGTAAATTAACTCTTTCCTTTATTTCAATACAGATTACATTGGATCTACTTTACCTCCGTACATGGATTTAGTTTGTCTTGTAATTGTGATTTTATCTAATCCTAAATTC